CAGCAGCGGGCAGTGGGACGCCAGAGCGGGTGGCTCGCAACCTGCGCCACACGGATGCAGGCAACTCGCCGCAGCGCGCGTGCAGGAGGCGCACAAGTCTGACTCAGAAGGTGGGCAGTTTCAAAACCCGCAGGACAATGTTGCTAGCATCAGCCAACAGGATGTCCCCACGATTCTGAGCCAGGGAATGGACGTATCACCGCAGGCGCCCATGTTGGTTGCAATGCCTGTGGCTGAGCAGAATGACATCATCGATGTGTCAGAGCCGGAGCTTGTTAACACAAGTGCGCAGAACAATACCGCGGTAGGGACAAGTGAAGAAGAGTCCCCATCAGGAACTGGCTCTGACTCAGAGGATTTCTCAGGGGAGCTCACTGCAACGGATGACATTAGCGAGCCCACTGAGTCCGGGGAGCTTTATTCCCCGTCAGAAGATCAGAGTAGCAAGGAGGATTCCTCGGAGCTGGAGCCCAGTGAGTCAATGACCCCCACGGAGTCAGAAACCACAGGGACAGACAGCTCAACCTCTTCCTACCGCTCTGCAGAAACCGACGACGAGCTCACCTCCGAGCACGTCGGCCGCACCTCTTCCAAGCTGGCCGCCTTCCGGGAGAAGACGGAAAAGCTGCGGAAGTACGATCCCACAGATCGGAAGGTGGGAACCACCCTGGACTGCCTCCACCCCTGGAGCAAGACCCACTACATCCACGACCCCGAGCACCTCCCCAACTTCTGGAAGAAGACCGCCAGGTGGAAGAAGAGGAAGCTCGGCGCCACCCTCTGCATCGGCAACCGCCGCATCCCCAGCGAGGGCAAGGGCAAGAAGAAGTCGCGGGCGGACAGTGTGGGCAAGGTGGACAAGGTCATGATCGCCCTGGACTGCCTTCACAAGCCGATGCAGGACGAAAAGCAGGTGGACCGGGTTCTCGCCTGGATCGACAGGGCGGACGCCGCCCAGCGCGACTACGTGGAGCGGCGCAAGGCGGAGCCCCCCAAGGTCACCAAGGTCAAGAAGCCGACGGCGCAGGACGTGGCGGACGCCCTCAACAAGAACACTGAGGCGTTCAAGACGTTCGCCGCCGCTCTAGCCCTCCCCGAAGGCGCCAGCCTGCAGAAGATCATCCAGGACGGCTTGGCGGCCCAAGGAAACTCCCTGCCCGTCAACGGGGACCAGCCCACCGAAGCCCAGGACCAGGGGGCAGAGGAGGGCGCGGGTCCCCTCGACGATGACGACAACGAGCTGGACGAGCGGGATGCGGAGCACGAGGCCGCAGCCGGAAGCGCCCACGAGGACGAAGACGCGGAGGACGACGCAGCCGACTCCCCCCAGGAGGCGGCCGCAAAGTCGGACCCCGCCGCGGACAAACCCTCAGCGCAGCCGGCGGTTCAGACCTCCGCAGCCCACAGCTCCCCCCAGCGGTCCTCAACCCCCGTCCAGTCAGCACCTGCGCAGACCTCTGCACCTCTTGAGGCCCCTGCGCAGGCCGCATCTACCCCAGCTGTGCAGTCCCCGGCCCCAGCGGCCTCTGCGCAGCTCCAGAACAACCAGGCAGCGGCAGCCTCACCGCCGCCTCCGGCCCGCGCAACCTCTGCGCAGCCTGCCGCCCAGGTGCCTCTCCAGCAGCCGCCGCCACGCGCGACTGACGTGGAGGACCTGCGGTCCAGCAGCCCCGCGCGCCCCCAGGGACCTGACCATCCGGGGCAGCGCCAGCCGGACGACACCGCGACTTCCACGCCGCCCAGGCCGCGCGCCCAGGGACTTGACACCCGGGGCCTGCGCCAGCCTTCGCCTGCGGCCGCAGAGCCGCACCACGACACCACCCCTGACCCGCCGCCCACGCGCAAGAAGAACAAGCGGGACAGGAACCGGCCCCCATACGCACCAGAGCCAACGCCCGCCGCTGAAGGAGCGGCCCAGGCGCTCCAGGCTCTGTCCGGGGACCCGTACGAGCTGGAGGAGACGCGCCCCCGCCGGCGCAACCGCGACAGCCAGCGCCCCGACACCACGGGCGCCGAGGGATCCCTCCCCCTCAAGAAGAAGAAGAAGAAGGCGGAACCTGCCCTGGAGAAGGGTGGGACGGATGTCCGCCAGGGCCTGAAGGAGCTGAAGGAGCTGAAGGAGTTGAAAAAGTCGAAGGTGGAGAAGAAAACCAAGCTGGCCATCATCGACCCCGAAGAGCCCACCAGCGACCGCAAGCCCAAGGCCGGGAAGAAGCGGAAGGAGGCGGCCTCGTCCACCACCGACACGGACGACCTCGCCATCTGCGCCAGCCGCAGCAAGCTCCCTCCCCGCCAGGACAACCAAAAAGTAAGTCCTGGACAAATTCGAACACTCAGAAACACAAGTGTCCTAAAAATGCCCACAGCCCACCACACAAGGACTTTGCGTGAACAGGCCTGTGCGGCACAAACCAACCTAGAAGATCCTGTTACACCAGAACCCACTTCTTCGCTTGGACTAACCAGCACACAACAATCTGCTGTGGCCCAAATCTTAGAATTAACGGAAGGCGTGGAGTTACAATTTCATTGGACCTCCGCGCACAACCTTCCCTGCAAGTTTCTGGACATGCTAGGACATGGGTTGAACATTCTGGTTCAGTCTCGCTGGCTGCTTGTGACGGCGGGGCTTGTTAGCACGCCGTTGGATTGAATACATTTACGGCTGTCAGTCTGCTTACACATGTGCGGAAACCATGGGCAAGCTTTACAGCCAACAGACAAGG